GAATCAGGAAAAATCAAGGACAAGTGCACGACATCACCCTTCGTGCTTTTACTCTCGTCCTCACCATAAGAATCAATATAAACTGCACGGCATCAACCTTCGTACTTTACACTCTTCCTCACCATAAAATCAATATAATCGGTACGGAATTGTACATCGTGCGGCACGGCATCATCCTTCGTGCTTTACACTCTTCCTCACAAAATAATACACGGCATCACCCTTCGTGCTTTAACACTCTTCCTCACCCAAACAACAATCACAAGAAGTAAGGGCAAGGAAATAAATGAAATTACAATAAAATCCCGGTAAAGGAATAATAGTACAACAATCAAATCCCGGCAAGGAAAACAACATCAAAACAATAACATCCCGGCAAGGGAGATAATATCATGATTCTCTCTCTCCTTTCTTCTTTCATGTTTACTTCCCAATTCTATTCACAACTTGAGTCAATGTTCTACAATGTTCAACGATTCAATTCTCAACTTGAGCCAATGCTCTACAATGTTCAACAATTAAATTCTCAACTTGAGCCAATGCTCTACAATGTTCAACAATTAAATTCTCAACTTGAGCCAACACTATACCATGTTCAATTAACAATAATACTTTCACAAGTTATATTCCTCAATAGAAATTATCATATAGAGCATATACAATACGAAACGGAGTCACATTAATTAAAGTATAAGACTCACGGGCATGCTTGACACCAACGTGTAGATACTCGTCATCATGCCTATACGTCGTACTCAACAAATAACACATAACAAATAGTACACAACTCCTAATCCCTCAAGCTAAGGTTACACAAACACTTACCTCGTTTTGCAACCAATTCAAAATTCCAACAAGACTTTGCCTCGCGAATTCGTGCCCGAAATTCTCAAATCTAGTCATAAACAATTTGATTCAGTCAATAAAAATTATAGGAATTAATTCCATATGAAATTCTACATTTTCCATTAAAAATCCGAAATTGTACTAAAAATTCGCCCGTGGGACTCACGTCTCGGAACCCGACAAAACTCACAAAATCCGACAACCCATGCAACCACGAGTTCACCCATACAAATTTTATTAAATTCCGATAACAACTCGACCTCCAAATCTAAAATTTTCATTTTTGGAAGATTTTGCAAAAATCTTGATTTTTTTCCATCTAAATCCGAATTAAACGATGAAAATAACCATGGATTTATGTAATATAAACACTTTCGAGTATAGGACACTTACTTGAGTTGAAATCATGAAGAATACCTCAAAATCGCCCAAGAATCGAGCTCCAAAAATCCCAAAACGAAAATGAAGAAAATGAGCATTTTTGGTCCTTAAGTTTCTGCCCATCCGTCACTAAAAGTCCATTTTCGTCACTAAAAGTCGTCACTAAAAGTCTACCTGAAACAACTTTACCATCCATATTCAATTGATCATAACCTTTTGTACAAATGGCCGAATGACGAATGGTTTAACTTTGTGGAAACTAGAATCCAAGGGCTACAACCTTTATGTTTTGCATATTTTCGGATTCCCTATATATGTTGAGATATAAGCTTCCAAAGTAGCCTCCTCGCATCAGAAATTTCTGGGAAATTTCAAAACAGCTTTACCAGCCCTTATTTAAACGATCATAACTTTCTGTATAAATATCCAAATATTTAATGGTTAAAGTTTTTGGAAACTAGAATGTAAGGGCTATAACTCTCATGTTTTGTACATTTTCAGATTCCTTATAGATTGCTGGATATAAGCTTCCAAATTTTGCTCCTTGCATCAAAATTTTCGAACCTTGCTGTCAAAATCCAGCAAGTTAAATTGGTCTAAAAATGGTCCGAAACTCACCCGAGCCCCTCGAGACTCTAACCAAATATGGAGACATGTCCCAGAATATAATACAAACTTAGTCGAGGATTTAAACCACGCTAAACAACACTAAAATTTTGAATCGCGCCATGAATCGAATTACGAGTTTTCAATTTTTCTAACTTCTATATTCGATGCAAAAACCAATCAAATCAAGTCCGATTGACTTCAAATTTTGCACACAAGTCATAAATGACATAACGAAGCTATAAAAAATTTCAGAACTAGATTCCGACCCCGATATCAAAAAGTCAACTCTCGGTCAATCTTTTTCAAAAATCTTCTATTTTCCAACTTTCGCCAAAATGCACTGAATTGTCCTACGGACTTCCAAATCCAAATCCGAACATGCTCCTAAGTCCAAAATCACCATACGAAACTATTTGAATCATCAAAATTCCATTCCAGGGTCGTTTGCTCAAAAGTCAAATCTCCGGTCAAACTTAAGAAATCTTTAGCCTTAGATTTCTAGATTCCGTTAAATGGCGATAATTTGATCTAGGGACCTCCGAATTCGATTTCGGGCATATGACCAAGTCCCAAATCATGATACAAAACTACCAGAATGGTCAAAACTTGGATCCGGGTTCGTTTGCTCAAAATGTCGACCGAAGTAACTTAGTTGAGTTTTAAATCTCTAATTCATAATTTAATCTATTTTCCATACAAAAACCTTCCGGAAAATTCTACGGACTGCGCACGCAAGTCGAGAAATTATTAATAATGCTTTTTTTCAAGGTCTTAAAACACCGAGATGATTATTTAATTTAAAGATGACATTTTGGGTCATCACAACCTTATAAACTAATAACAATTAAAACAACTGAATAACCTAATAACCTATTACAGATTACCGTCGTATATTATACGAAAGTTCAAATTTTAAGTTACGAACTATCTTAGTAGTTTAACTTATATAAATACATATTTTATTCACAATAAAATAATATCAATCAATGTATTCAAAGAATTTGTCTATTGCACAAGATACATGTATTATGGTTTGAACTTTTCAAATGAAAAATATTTCGTAAATAAATTTTAGACACGAGAAACCAACGCTCTGATACCACTGTAGGATTGCATATATGTGTTCATAACACGCAGCGGAAGGCAATAACAATCCTAGGCAGAACTTTTCGTATTTAAAATTTATTTACGTGTCAAAGATCGGATCTAAGACGTACCTGGTGAAGAGACTCTTGTTTCAAAAAATTTCTTCGATTGTGCGAAGACTCTATGCGTATCCACACCGAGATCGATCCTTGCTATCAACTCTTTGATCAATGAAACCCGTGAACAAAATTGAACAAAATATTGTGTTGAAATTTTTCTCAAAAATCTCAACTCAATGTTACACGACAAGAACTGTTATTGTCAAGAATGTTTGTTTCTTGATTTTTATGGCTTCTCAAACCTGTTATTTTTCACTTCAAAATGGAAGCTAAAAAAGAGGAAGAATAGAGTGTTTTTGCTACTGCAATTGAATGTCCTCCGATTCTAAATCAAGAGTAAGTCTTTTAATATAAAAATTGAATCCATTGAAAAATATATCACATTCTAAGTGGGATGATTATGACAAGCTTCCTTTATTAATTTTATAAAAGTTTTCCATTGAAAAATATATCACATTCTAAGTGGGATGATTATGACAAGCTTCCTTTATTAATTTTATAAAAGTTTTCCATTGAAAAATATATCACATTCTAATGAGATGAATCTTCCAAGATCTTGAGGAGTTTGAATAGAAATTCTGCCGTAGGAATTCGTTCATGGAATTCCATGTCCAATCAAAATTGGATCAAGTGTTCTTCATTAATATTATATATATACACCTTATATAAACAAATATTAACTATATATTTCAACCAACAGATACAATTTGATTTTCTGTCCAAATAGAAACATCAATTTATTCACAATATTAATTATATCCTCTGTGCTAGCAAATAATATAATAATATTTCATTTGGACTAATAACCAAATTTATTTGACTAATTAAATTCCTTAATTTAATTATCAAATAATAAAGTAATTAATCCTTTAGCAATGATCAGAACACTCATTCGTGTGCGATCCCATATGTTCAATACTAAGCCGATAGTAAATTGATCACATCAATATACTAATCAAGGGTGGCGTCTAGCAACACTCCTTAACGACCAGATAGAATGAAGTATACGATTTACTCTCAAGAACCAGTAGAAGAATAATTTAGTAATTCCTTCTGTCCTTATAGCTCTGGATCACCCTAGGATATGGTTCAACTGTCAAATCCAAATAGGCGACCAACTATGTGTTCATGTCAAATATAATCGACCATTGAATGACCTAAGAAACTCATTTCTTCTTTCATTCAATTGCCCTGGCCAAGGTCTTAGTTTGGTCGTTTATAATTCATGACAACATGAAGCTTAAACTCATTACCAAGAGTTGACAGATTCCATCTTGGATCAATTACTAATTCTACAAGTATTTAATCGTACCCAATATCCTTTCAACTATCGCCCTAGGGCTATAGGTGTCTAGTATCAAAGCACAATAAATAACTTGTCAATTACTATGGCGATCTCAGGTCAAAGAAAACTCTTGCATCACATTCTTCAAGAGAATATCCTATTGACAGTTTATGGTAATTCTAACCATTAGGAATTATCGAATGAGTCGGTTCAATGATCATATATCTATATGCATCATCTATCTATGTGATTCAATTAATGAGATCAACCAATCTTTATCCTATAAAGACGATCACATAGATATTGATCTAACCGGGTTATTAATGTCCAAATTAATAATCCTATGATCAAGAACTAAATTTATATTAAATTATAAGAAATTTTACTCTCATTATCATGATCTCAATAATCAAGCAATTAATAATAATGACAAAAAAATATCAAATGCCATATATATATTTTATATGAAATAATATTCATGAAAAATGTGTTCAAATCATCAAACATGAGATTGGATCTAGGACATATCTAATATATCCCTAACAATTGGGGTGATAGAAAATTATTTTATTTCCTCAAGGAAAATGTTTACAACAAAACCATGTTACATTTATGAATTTTCGGGGATGTGTATCTAGACATAAATAATCACAAGGCACGATTCCTCTTTAGCACGTTGATTTTGAAGGATACTCTTGTTCCAGGTTCAAAGAAAAGGTAGGGCCTGTTCCATGGACAAAGCTAAGAAGCACTTGGCCTAGTGGTACTGGCATGAATAGCTCAAGGCTTCATCTATTCTTGAGATTTCTGCAGTTTAAGATGCTTTGTTCCAAGTTTTAAAAAAGGTAGGGCCTAATGTTCTTGAACTAATAGTGCAAAGTTATTGATACTTGGAAGACAAAAGCATGTGATTTTCAGGGACATTGTCTTCTGCTGGTGTCCACAAATTCCTATTCAACACATATCAGCTGTGTTCTATGAGTTGCCATTGCCTATATAAACATATTCAAAGAGGTGTCTACCACCTCAGCTCTCACCAAACTTGAAAGTATTGAAAGCTTTCTCTGCTTTTAAGTTCTTTAGTAATTCTCTCTTTCTTACTAAAACTAAAAGATCATGGCAATTCTTCGTATGATCAAGAAGTCTTCGACAAGTGGAGATGTTCCCAAGGGCCACTTTGCTGTGTATGTTGGGGAGAAGCAAAAGAACAGATTTGTAATCCCTATATCATTTTTGAGTCAACCGGCATTTCAAGACTTGCTTAGTCAAGCTGAGGAAGAAGTTGGCTTTGATCATCCAATGGGTGGTCTCACAATTCCGTGCAGTGAGGACTTTTTCGTTGATCTCACATCTCGCTTGAGGAAGTGACAAGGAAATTAACCCCCTCCACTGTGTACAGTTCAGGAGTTAGAAGAAACACTAGGTAGATTTAATGAGTTTAGCTACATAAAGAATGGCTGTTATTCTTTTGTCTCTAGACTAAGGACACATTTTTCTACTTCAATAGAAATTGAAGTAATGAACCTTTTTACTTCTATTGTTCCATTCTATTCCATATATTGATGTAATCAATTCATTGCAATAGAAAACTTGTTTCTCAACTCTCGTGGTTTACTAATCCGAATGAACTAGAGTCTGGTCTTCTAAGTAGCATAACCCATTCAGATCATGACATTATGGTCACTGCCATATTTGATAAAATGATAACTCAATATGTACTGAGAGCTGCAATAAAAAATGAACTCTTAATAAGAATGATATCTATATTTTTCTTGAAGACCACCTCATAATTTAATGGAGATTTGTATAACATAGACACAGACATGTCGATAGCCAGTAAAGATTTCTGTTCTCTCTGATTAGTGTAACATTTCTCAAAATTTGCTGAAATAACTCAGGTAATTCTAATTCAGGAAAGTTGATCTTACATAATGACTTTGCATGAGGGACAAAGTGGTCCAGACCTGAATCATAACAAGACAATTACCTGTTATTATCAGTCTGATCTCAAAAGATCCTATATCGTCAATTACTCAATGTTATCAATTTGATTTATAAAAATCCCGTGTTCTCTATCTTTTCATAAAAAACGGTAGGGCAATGGTATATGTGTATTTGACAATGAGTTGGAAAACAAAACCATGTGATACTTCATCTGCTATTATCAATCGACAGTGCAACAAATGCCTCCCTTATCAAAAAAAAAAAAGAAAAAAGAGTGCAACAAGAGTCTCTCCACCAGTGAAATCTTACATATGATTGACTAGTTTTCTCTTGTAATTCTTGTATAAATGGACACAATGGACATCTGGGGTATGTTTTGGTCCTGTAAATCATCATATGGCACAGCATCATATTTATGGATTTGATTTTAAGAAATCCTTTGGTCCATGTCTGAGAAAAATGTAGGACCTATTGTTCTTGAACTTACATGAGCTAAAGTAATCAATCATGTCAATTAGGTGGAAGGCAGGACCATGTGGTTATTGACATGTCATTGTCTTTCAGTGATACACAACCCACATGGCTCTTCACCACAAAATCATGATTTTTTATGACTTATCATTTGCTTATATAAACATGCTCTGGGAAGTTTCCACCACCACAACTCTCCACAAAACTAGAGAACTACTCAAAATTTCTCTTCATCCTTTACTCATCTTAAATAAAAGATTATGGCTATCCGTATGCCTCGTATTATCAAGAAGTCTTCTACAACCGGAGATGTTCCCAAGGGATATTTTGCTGTTTATGTTGGGGAGAAGCAGAAGAAGAGATTTGTGATTCCCATATCATTCTTGAGTCAACCGACATTTCAAGATTTGCTAAGTCAAGCTGAGGAAGAATTTGGCTTCGAACATCCAATGGGTGGTGTCACAATTCCCTGCTCAGAGGACATCTTCATTGGCATCACTTCTCAGTTTAGGATATAATTGAGAATCATTTTTCTTTTTACAGGTCTCACAATTTTTGTATATGAAAGCAGGAGATATGTTTTGTACAGTTGATTAGTTATTAGAAGTTAAGTGAGGCTTAGCACCAAAAAAAATTGGTGCTTTTTCGCTCAAAAAGACTCTAATTCAAAGAGTAGAGACACAACTTTAATTGTTTTCTCTTGCTACAAATTTATCCGAGAGAGATTTTTCTTAAATGGATGAACAATTTAGCTTATATACTTGGCCAAGATATAACTTTGAATTATTGATATGTGGGATACAAGTTGGATATTTTGCTCTCTGAAATTTTTGAGAGGTGCGAGTGGAGGATAGACTCTCATACTGAAGTCATACATTAGTCCAAAATCTTTAAGGTAGGAGTAGCTCAAAATCTTTAGTGAGCAATTCCTAACAACAACCTTACGACGCTAATCAGCTTCTTCAAGATCCTTAGCCCAAAAAATCCCTTTGCTTTTATAAACCATTTTTTCCTCCATTTTTGCCAAAATAAGTTCCATGCTCTTGCTCTCCATCACTTCTCTTCCGTGCATTCAAATGGTGTTCGAAATGTCAAATTTGGGACAAGTGATTCACGCCCTTTTACATGAACGTTCTGATTTGCTTTTAAGCGTGTATGTGTGCTCTGCTTTGGTTGATTTGCATGCCAAGTCATTGTTCGATGAAATTCCTGTGAAGAACACTGCTCTGAATTTCTTAACAAGCAAAACCATTTGTAAAAGATTTGCTATTATCAGGACCAATAGATTATTACTAACTTTTCTGTTTTCTCCTTTTGAATCGGACTTCCTTTCCCGAGCTTATCCAAAATGTAAAAAAATACCGAGGGACAAGACATCACCATTCATTTCCGTGCTGATGTTCATTTATCAGCCAGTGCATTTTGTGAGTTGCTCTTCTGATTTATAGCTCTCCTTCTAATACGATATACTCCCCCGTCCCCTTTTATGTGATAATGTTTGACTTAGCACGGATGTTAAGAAGAAGGAAAGAAAGACTTTTCAAACTTGAGTTCCACCACAAGCCATGAACATGTGTGTGGTTATAAATCATCTCTTTAAGGGTAAAATGAGAAGTTTAAAGTTGAATTGTTTCTAACTATAGAAAAATAGCGACATTCTTTTGGGATAGATTAAAAGGGAACTTGAATTCCACCACAAGCCATGAACATGTGTGTGGTTATAAATCATCTCTTTAAGAGTAAAATGAGAAGTTTAAAGTTGAATTGTTTCTAACTATAGAAAAATAATGACATTCTTTTTGGGATAGATTAAAAGGGAACGGGTGTCACATAAAATGGGACAGAGGGAGTAATAAATAAACTACCCGATGCTTCGATCAAGCCATTTGAAGTTTTGATTACTTAAACATTAGACCAAGAATTGAAATAGTCATGCTAAATCAATTTCTTAGCTTGCTACTTCTTGTTCGTTCTGCTCTTCACGTCAACTGTAAAGAGTTGATGCTTTTGTGTAGTTGATTAACTTATCATTTAACACTATAGCTAGAGGAGGAATTAGGCTCGCCGTGCACTAAGAAGCATGTTGTTCTCGAGTCACCTGATGAGCATTCAGAGGCTATTTCTCCCCTGTCCAGAACTCTTTTAGTTTTACCATACATTTTGAGGTCTAAATCTCTAGTACCATGCAGGCTATAGCTCTGGCTTTTCGTTAATACTTAGAATGTTAAGTTTGGTATAGGAATTTAGATTCTCCGTGAAGTGTTGTTCAACGTCAACTTGTTGTGGATTATATAATCTGATCAAATATGGATTTTCTTGACAAATTTAAGCCAGCATGTTGTTTTTGTGGATTAGTACCAGTCTATATCATAATTGCTCACCAGATTAAAGATAAGTTTCTGCATTCTTCTCTTGCTTGTTTCCTACAAAATTACTGCTGAGGTCCACCCATGCTCAGCATAGGAACAACAAAAGTAGTTTTGTTTTTCTTTGACCAGAAACATGGCATGGCCTTCTTATTGATAATGAAACTGGAGAAATATTCTAACCTTATCCAATTCTCTATTATTTCCAATATTAATCATCAAAATTTGACCATTTTTAAGTGTTCTCGAAGTCTTCAACTGCAGCACCACTTGGAACCATAAGAGTAAGACAGTACCTTTTTGTCATAAGAACCAACTTGTATCCTGAGCCACTGCTTTAGCACTATGGATGATCAGATTAGATTCGCATTTGATGATCAATCATTGGAATTCTGACTACAACTTGTTGATTTAACTTCAAGAAATGGCTAGAGGTGGTCCCTCACTAAACCATTTTTCAAGAAGATGAAGTTTCCATATGTTCTTTGTTGTGAAGATCAGGGGGACCCTCTGCTTTTAGACTAGTCTTAAAATATAAATAGTATGACAATGATTTGGAAGGCAAAACCATGTCTTACTTGAGGTGCCATTGTTTTTAGCTGGTGCCCACAAAATACTATTCAATGCACATCATTAGGACTCTAAAACTTGTCATTGGCCTATATAAACATCTACAAAGAAGGGTTTACCATAATAGCTCTCACCAAAACTTGAAACCATACAAAGCTTTTCTCTACTTTCAGGGTCCTTTTTTGATAAGTACTTTCAGGGTCCTTACTAATTGTCCCCTTCCTTAATTTCTCGTCTGTATTGAACTTAACGACCATGGCTATCTGTATAATGAAGAAGTCTTCTACAGCTGGAGATGTTCCAAAAGGACACTTTGCAGTGTATGTTGGGGAGAAGCAGAAGAAGAGATTTGTGATCCCTATATCATTCTTGAGCCAACCTTCATTTCAAGACTTGCTAAGTCAAGCAGAGGATGAATTTGGCTTTGATCATCCAATGGGTGCTGTCACAATTCCTTGCTCAGAGGACATCTTCATCGGCATAACTTCCCAGTTTAGAATTTAAGTATATAGTTTTAGATCATTTTTCCTTTTTAGATCTCACAATTTTGTATATCAAAGTAGGATATCCATCTTGTATAGTTAGTTTATTAGAAGCTACGTAAAGCTTAGCACCACAAAAATTGGCGCTTTTTGACTCACAAAGACACTAATTCTAAGAATACAGATACAACATTCTTTTCTCTCACTAAATGCATCCGAAAGAAATTTATCTTTCGGTGCTGAAAAATTCAGCTTATCCACTTCGCCAATATATAAGAAAGAGTTTTCTGTGTTCTAATTGTGTAAAAGATATTTATACTAGTAGGTCACTTACAAGGTATACAAATAAATTTTTATGATTAGTAATTGGTAACCTAATAACCTATTATAGTAAACAGTGATATTAGTACACAAAATATTTATGCTATCCGCTGTTTTTAAGTTAAATCCCTTGAAATATTGCCTGATGTGTTCTTATTGTCTTCAAAATATCAACTTTGGCATATCCAGAAATTGTTTATGAAGAATGCAGCTGTGTTGTTCGATGAAATTCCTGTAAAGAACTGAAGATAAGATGTGGGTGAGGGGCCTTGCATCGGCGAGGAAGATTTCATTTCCATGCTGATGTTCATTACCAGCCCGTGCATTTTGTGAGTTGCTCTTCTGTTTTACTACTCTGCCTTCCGATACCATATATAACAAATAAACCGCCCAATGCTAGGACCAAACCCTTTAGAAGTATAGATTACTTAAACATTAAAATAATCCAAGAATTGAAATAATCATGTACTTGCCTAAATCAATTTCTTAGCTTGCTGCTTTTTATTGGTTCTACTCTTCAGGTGCACTGGTTAAAGTTGACGCGTTTGTGTAGTTGCTAAGATTATCATTTGAAATTATAGCTTGAGGATGAATTAGGCTTTCCGTTTGTCTTTATCTCTTGCATCATGCAGGTCATAGCTCTGGCTGTTCATAAATACTTAGAAGTTTGGTATAGGAACTTAGATTGCTAGTGAAGTGCTGTTCAAAGCCAACTTGTTATTAGCTTTATATAATCTGATCATTTCAAGGTGCACTGTGTCAATTGATTTTCTTGACAAATTTAAGCCAGCATATCATTCTTGTACCAGTCTATTATCATAATTTTCTGACCAGATTAAAGATAAGCTTCTGCGTTTTTCTCTTGCTTGTTTCCTACAAAATTAGTGCTGAGGGTCCACCAATGCTCATCATTGGCACAATACAAGTAAACACTGGTTGGTTTTGTGTAGCTTTGACCAGAAACATTGCATGACCTATGACCTTATTATTGATAAATGAAACTGGAGAAATATTCTAACCTTATCCAATTCTCTATTTCCAGTAATAATCATCACAATTTGACAATTTTATAAGGTTCTCGAAGTCTTCAACTGCACCACCACTTGGAACCAAAAGAGTAGGTAGATTTTTTTCATAGGGCCATTGCTTTAATTAGCACTATAGATGGTCAAATTTCGTCCAAATTTCTCAGGACATGCCCTCATAGATTCGCATTTGATGATCAATCATTTGAATTCTGACTACAACTTGTTGTAACATAAAGAAATGGCTAGAGGTGGTCCCTGACTAAACCATTTTTCAAGAAGATGAGGTTTCCATATGTTCTTTGTTGTAAACATCAGTGGGACCTTCTGCTTTTAGACTAGTCTCAATGAATATATAGTATGACAATGAGTTGGAAGACAAAACCATGTGATACTTCAGGTGCTATTGTCTTTAGCTGGTGTCCACAGAATGCCTATGCACATAAGTAGGATTTTATAACTTGTCATTGGCCTATATAAAGAAGGGTTACAATAACTCAGCAAAACTTAAAATCATACAAAGCTTTTCTCTCCTTTCAGGGCCCTTACTAATTTTGTTCCTTATTTGCTCATCTATATTGAACTTAACAACCATGGCTATCCATATGCCTCGTATAATAAAAAAGTCTTCTAAAGCTGGAGATGTTCCGAAGGGTCATTTTGCTGTTTATGTTGGGGAGAAGCAGAAGAAGAGATTTGTAATTCCCATATCGTTCTTGAGTCAACCTTTATTTCAAGACTTGCTTAGTCAAGCTGAAGAAGAATTTGGCTTTGATCAACCAATGGGTGGTCTCACAATTCCCTGCGGCGAGGATGTCTTCATTGATCTTATTTCTTACTTGAGTAGGATATGAGGCTTTTCCTTTCCCAGTTTTGTAAAGAATAGGATTTCCAGTTTGTACGTTAGATGAATTAGGAAAGACACATTATTCATATTACTGAAAATTAGATAGAGGGGGCTACTGTCAGCTGCAACAGTAGATCCCAATTTTGAATGTAATTTGCAGTAGCTGATGTCAAAAAGACATACAGCACATTCATTAGCAAATGAAATCTGTTCATATTCACTCTTTAGCCAATTGGATTTTCAGTATTCTTGTTGGATAAATTTCTTTTCAAGACTCCATTTTCTCCATAACATGGGAACTGGATCTTCTAAAGCGCTAAAATTCTTTTATAATCAACTCTAAAGGAGACACCTATCCTGAACACTGAAATTTTTTGGCAATGACAACAAAGTAAACTTAATATCTGTAGCAGAAATTTCAAACTATCAAAAAAGTGGCATTAATAGATCACACTCCATTAGATATTTTTATTTTCTGCCATTTTCACAATAAATGTCTGGCTTGATTTATTAGAGTTTCTACCGAACAGCTGAAAAACTTGGATAATTCTGATCCGTGAAGTTAATTAAATCATCAGATTAAAACAACTTATGATATGAGGACAATAAATTGTATCTTATTTTAGTCAACGTATTTCTAAAAATATTTATTAGTAGTATATAAGTACATATTTTCTGGTGGGTTACCAAAAATAGTGGCTATGCAAGTATACTTATGTTGCTTGTTTGCAGGTTATTAAATCCAAATCCATAAGTTTTTGTGTTTTACATAAATCAATGTATAAAATCTAAATACCTCAATTGCATGTTGCCCGGTATGAGTTCTTTATAATTGAAGAGTAACTAGACCGAGCAATCAGAAGCGCCTATTTTGTTCTCTTTTTCTTTATCTTTACTGTTCAGGAGCTGAAGTTCACCTTTATGCTCTTTTATTTTTCTCAATTTTTTTTTAATCTTGTTATATAAGTTTTGTTGATTGCCAAAATTTGTCCCACATCGGTGGAGGACACAATAGGGTGGGAATTTTTCCCTATAAAAGGAGACCTAATGTTTAGGATTTAAATACACCTCTCATTTGCCTTCTTA